CCGAGTGAAATCTAAGCCCAAACAACGCGCCTCTCGACAGGGGTGTAGAGAGGTGACTAGCCAAGATCTGTGTCCGCAACGTGTCAAGAGCCCCAAAATCAACAAGAAAGACGCATCAACACAATTTTTAAAAGGGGCAACACATTTGGACAGGGACCTCCTGGACCCAAAGGGTGAAGAAATGACCCACAGTCAGATGAACACTGGTGGCCCCTAGCCATCGGGAACAAGCCTTAGGCCACAGGAGGCTTCCCACCCTCAGGAAGGCGGAGCTGAGGAAGACGGACAGTTCCAAGTGCCAGTGAGGAGCAGGGACCACGGGGCTCCCACACCCGCCGRTGACCCAGCAGCTCCCCTTCCAGTGGAATGCACCCACAAGGGTTGATTTTGTGTCAACTTGACTGGGCCAGGGGATGCTGCGGTGTCTGCTCAAACCTAATTCTGGTGTTTTTGAGGGTGTTCTGGATGGGGTTAGGACCTGGCTGGTGACTGTGGACTGAGTGAAGCAGACACTCCTTCCCAACTGGGTGGGCCTCATCCAACCCATTGGAAAAAAGACCCAAATGGGAGGCAAATGCCGGTCTTCCTAAGAGTAGGAGGACTTCCTCCTCCTGACTGTTTGAACTGGAACACGCACTGCCCTCAGACTCAGACTGCACCATCAGCTTCGCGCCCAGGGCACGGCTTGGGACTTGACTGTGATCATGTGAACCAATTCCTTCTAAAGAATCTCTTGACATAGATGTAGATACAGGTGTGGGCCTATCCCTATTGGTTCTCTCTCTCTCTCTCTGCATGACCCTAAGACAATCTCCAAGACAAAGAAGGGCTTAAATTACCAAAAGGCATGAAAAAGAAGGAGAGTAACAGCTGTGTTTGTTATAGTCCCGCTTTGAGCTGAGGGACCACAGTGGGCACCATGCAGATGGATAGGCCTCACATCCCTGGGCCAGAGGACTTCCGGGTGGGAATGCAGAAAAGGCAGGAGTGGGGGGGTCAAGCCCCAAGAGCCTGCAGGAACCCCCTCTATACCTGATGGGTGGCTGCCCATGCTAGTGCCTAGCTCCTGGTGAGGACATCTTGGGTCCCTCACGTGCCCAGCGGTTGGTGTGCTTGTCCCACACAGCAGGGCACTGCCTCCTCTGTCCCACTGACCAGGTGTTGGCACTGCCCAGGGCAATGTGGGTTAGTGGGACCCACAGGTGGGAGCAGTGATCGAGGTGGTGGCATTGGGGGACACCACGGCTGAGCTCAGCCCAGGGCAGGCCCACAGCACTTGGCAGGCGTCAGACTCGGTGCTGGTCATCCTGAACCACCAACCACCGGGGGCCCTCTGAGGCATGCCCAAGCCCCATACTTCTTGGAGCTTATAGGCCTGGGGTTGGCTGGCCTGGTTCCTGTCCGTCAGCCCCTCTGCTTCATGCTGGGGAGTCCTTGCTGGGGATGGGGACTGCCATGGCTGATCCTGGCTCCCTCCTGTGTATGCTGGCCCCAGAGCTGTGCCTTCCCAAGTCATTTGCCAGGACACCTGTGCCTGCCATGCCTGGCTCTTCCTCTTGTCCATGGAGGGGTGCGGGGCTCCTGGGAGGGTGCCAGTGGCCCATGCCCCTGTTGGCTCCTTCTTCAATCATGTTGGGGAAACTTTCCTGCCCTCCCTGGGCCCTGAGGCTCCTAGGCTTGTACTGTCCACACTCTGGACTCCAGGCCCCCCACACCCAGTTATAGTGAGCTGGAGACCCCTGGAGCCCACCTCCTACCCACCTCTGCTAGAAGTCCTCCATGGCCCCAATCCTGGGGTAGTGACAGGGCAGACTCGGGGGTGGGTTTTCATCCCACTGCCCCTGATGTGGGGGGGCAGGAGTGCAACCTTGCCCTGAAGCTAGCAGAGACTGGTAGGCCTTAACTTACCCCCCACCGCAGACCAGCCACACCTCAGGGGCAGGGCTCTGAGTCTCTGGGGCATCCCTGTGAGCCTCTCCCAGCCTCTAGAGCGCTAGGGGAGCCCAGCCGCAGCCTGGGGGAACAGGCCCCGTAGGCCCTGCTCTTGCTGGTGCCCCGTGCCTTTGGCTTATCATGGCACATTCCTGAGTTGCTGGGCTGCCCTCCCCAGGGCCCATGGGCCTCTCCTGGGCAGCAATGCCAGCCCCTGGGGCACCTCCCTCTGGGTGTTCAGAAAACAGGAGGACTTCCAGGTGCCGCCTGCACTCCTGCATGCCCTGAGCTGGCGGCACCCATCTGGAGTCCCGCTGGCGATTCCCAGGGTGTGTGGGGAAAACTGAGGTACCCTTCTCAGCGATTGCTCGAGGGACCTCCAGGGCAGGAGTGGCCCTGGGGTTGGGTGACTGGACCTACTGTGCAGCAAGCCACTAAACTCTGCCCTGCAGACCTGTTCAGGGTGCTGCTCACGGTTGCTTTGTTTTTGATTACAAAATGAATACCATTCAAAAGGGAAATTTGAGAAATATATTTTATATATAGAATCACAAAGAAGAAGAGAAGACCCACCACTGTGCCACTGCCCGGGTGTACTTCTTGGACCGTGGGCTGAGGGGAGTGGGCAGGCCCAGAGGCTGCAGTCTGAGGAATGCCTTGGGCTCCCAGTGTCCTGGCCACCCCACTGCCACCCCCAACATCCACTTGGTACTGGGAAGACCCCACTGCCTCTGCAGACCCCACTGCTGCCAGCCAAGTCCTGGGGCCCACAGATGGCCCTTTCCTGTCCGCCCCTTCCTGCTCCCAGGGTCTGTGACCCACCCACACCCAACTGCTCTGGGGTTCCTGCAAGATCCTCCACTTAGTCTCACCTGCACCCAGCCCAGAGTCCCGGGTAGGTTGACAGATGGGGCCTCCTCCTCTGGAAGACCCCTGGGGAGTTGTCTCTGGACTTCTGTTGCCAGCAGCTAGGACTGGGTGGGAGCAGAACCTGTGTGGGAGGCCAGGTGCTGTCAGAATCACGCCTACCAGATCCTCTCACCCAGGCGTCCTCTCATTCCTCCAATGACTGCAGCCATTTTAATAGGGAAAAAGGGTTGAATGTATTTCAAACCTTGGGCCTGATGCCCCTCTGCATGCCCTCCGGCCACCGGCTTCCAGGTGCCAGGCACATGGCTGGGGAGAGTGAATCCAACACCCATTTAAGGGTTAACTTTGGCCAAATAGCCAAAAAACGCTTGCAGCTCTTGTTCTGAGGCCCGCTGATCCCCCAGTCCTGTCCCGTGGTCACCACGGGGTGTGGGTGCAGACAAAGCTGTGTTCATGGAAGCCCTGGGCCTGACAACAGTGGCACAAGGACCCCATTCTCTGCTGTCCCCAGCTGCGTCCCCTCCCCCAGTGGGCCTGACATCAGAGGCTCTGGGTCAGACATCCTGAGGAGGCCCACCCCACCCCACCCCCACCCCAGCCAGGCTCAGCTGCTGGGTGCCTAGACATTCACAAGGAGGCTGCCACGGGAGAGGGCAGGGCTGGGGGTGGGGGGACGGGGGGACSGGTCCTGCCTGAATGGGACCGGCAGCTGCCTCTGGTTCATCCTGCTTCATGGGAAGCTGCTGCAGTTTACAGCTGGTTTTTGAACCTAGAAGTGGAGGTTTGCATCCAGCCTGATGGAGGTGATTTCTTGGTCCCAGGGCAACCTGACCTTCCTGGCTCTCCCCACGMATCAGCAGTTCCTCGGAGCTGCAGAGTCAGACTGGCCTCACTGCACCTCATGGCAAGACTGAGAAACAGGCCAGCTGGCTGGGGCCTGCGGACCTGCTGCCCAGGAAGGACAGGGCCCAAACACCCCCTTCTGCAGGTGCTATAGGTGACCCACATTTCAAGGTGGAAGTCCCAACTCCAAAGGTTTGGGGAGCTGCTTGGACCCAAAGGCCAGTCAATCCGCATCTTGGTTTTTATAGAATAACTCAGGGCCCAAGTGTCTAGGCCCCAGGTGAGCAGACAAGCAAGCCATTCACCCCTCAGTGTGCTCATCTGTGAAATGGGCAACTCCACCAACCCAGGCTGCCTAGAGTCTGAGTGTCCGGGCAGAATCTGGCACACAGGCACCGCCAATGTCATATAGGCCAGAAAGGTGGAGGCAGGAGGGGCAGAAGCCTCACTCCAGGAGCCTCATCAGGCCCCAAGCTGGACTTTGTTCATGGCCTCTAGATGCCCTTGGGGCTCTGGGGATGACCTTTTCCCCAAGAGGTCCCCAGGGGCTCTCTCCATCCTCCCCTGAGAAGCACACCCTCCTGACCCCCACTTATCCAAGGCCCAGCGTTTAAGTGGGCTGTGTGCTCCAGCACAGTGTGTGTGACAAGACGTAACCCTGGGACATGGGGCAGGGGGGCGCAGAGACGGTTGGGTCAGGTTTTCCTGGAGCCCCGCGCCTGTGGTCCGGGATGCGCTATGCATGAGAGATACGCTTTGCGCCAGGCACCGCAGCTGCCCCTCACTCTCCGCCTCATGACCTTCCCAGAGGCGCGGACAAAGGCGGGCTGAGCAGGCGGCGCCTTTAAGGACGCAGCGCGGCAGGTTCGGTGCCAGGAGGCGCCGGGCGCGTCGCGGGGGAGCCGTGCAGCCGGCAGGCGGAGGGGACCGGGAGCTCGCAGCCACCCCAGGCACACCCGAGTCACTTGCCATCTTTTCCCACATGGGGGCTGGGCAGCCGGGGTCCTCCCCTCCCCACCCCCACCCCCCGCTTGGTGGGGGCGCTCCCGGAACTGGGGAGGGGAACAGGGGCTGCCGCGTGCCTGGGCCTGGGGTCCTGAGTCGGTGCATCGCCGCTACCAGGTCCCGAGATTCCTCTCGAAATGCGTTCGCGGAGGGGTGGGGGCCCCTCGACGAGGGTGGCGGCCACCACCCCACTGCGGGCCGGCCGGGAGCGCGGATCTGGGGGAAGGCGCTTCTGGCGCGGGTGCCAGACTCGCGCGGACCACTCTTCCTCCCCCCGGCCCTAGCCCCCTCCCCAAAAAGCGAGAAGAGGCGGCGCGGAGGGAAAGAGATTAGATTCCGCTCCCCTCTCATCAATTTTCTGTTTAATGTCACGGGGCCCCATTGTGGGAGAGGAAAGCACGTCACCCAGGCCATAAATTTGCCATTATGGCGCCTCCGGCCGCCTCCTGGTTCTCAGGGACAGGCGGAACGGAGCAGGTGGGGATGCAGAGCCCGCGGCATCGGCGGGTGCGTGCGCTTCTCCGGACGCGGGTCCGGGTACTTCCAGGGCGCTTTTGTGTCTGGCTTGGATGTAGGGGCTTTGATTTTATACCACCTGCTCCAGGAGACTTTCTGCACTGAAAAATCAGCCTAAAAAAAAAAAAAAGGCAAACAATTTCTTGGGGAAGCACATCCGCCTCCCGCATTTTGTTGCCCTGCACTGCTCAGCGAATCAGGCAGCGGCCGGTCTGGCTAGCGGTGGCATACTGTGATGGACCCTGGGGACGCACGGGGGCTCCGTAGCCCTTCGCTCGCTCAGTGGGATGTGCTTGAAAAGGCCTGCAGAAGTGGCAAGTGTCCCTCTTCTAACAGTCCCCGGGGGGCCCCCCACCCCCTGCTCGGACTGTTAGAAGAGGGAGTTTTCTGGGAGTCTTCCTTTGGAACACTTCTGAAAACCCTCCTGGATGGGGAAGTGCCGCCTGCAGAGGTGTCCACACCCCATGGATGGGGGTTGCATATGTATTTGTGCAGATCAGAAAAAAAGGTCCTATTGAGTTATTTTTAACTTAAGATATCAACGGTCCTGTTAACAAAAGAGGCAGTGGCCATGCTCCAGGGCAGGTGGGAGCCATGGGTCGGGTGGTTATGTGACCATGTCCCTACTGCCCCTCTGGTAACTGGAAGAGAGGGCTCTCCAGGCTCTGCCACAGGCCCTGGCTGCTCTGTGGGAACTTTGATAGGAATCACTTATTTGTGGTCTGTAAATGCAGAAGGTAACCAGGCCAAAGACTCAAATCCTCCCAGACATAAGGGGGAGGAAAAGGAGGCATCTGTCTTCCATCTTACCAGCCTGATTTCTTTCCATGGAGGGGACCTATGGCCCATCAGACTCTGGGGATACAAGTGGTGGGGGGTGCCCCAGGGTAGAAAGATTGTGGGCTGTCTCAAGGGCAGGAAGCTGGGCTGGATGGGAATGAGGAGTTCTGGAAACAGCAGGAGAGTAGTGTCCTGAGGTTTGGCCTGTGACCCTGTGGGACCAGTTCCCATGTGCAGCACCCAACACAATAGGGCCCTCTACTGGGGCAGCCAGCCGTACTGGGCGGGGGAGTCTGGCCCGGCTGGGGTTTTCCCAGTATGGAGCACTGAAGGAATCCAGGGGAGGCAGGCCTCCTGCCACTGTGGGTGGGGTGAGGAGGGCAGGGTGCTGTTCCACTGGCTGCCTGGGCTGTCAAGGAAGCCAGAGGAACTGGCGTGAAGTAAGGGAAGCGGGAGCTCTGTCTCCCTAGATCATGGGCTGCCTGGCCCTAGAGGTTCTGTTCCTGGCCCTGGTGAACAGCTGGGACCCTGCCTAAGCCAGCTGGGCTCCATCAGAGGAGGTCCTGCAAGACACAACCTGATAGTGACCCCAATAAGCACACCCAAGACCCGGCACCCTGCAACCAGTTCCCTGCACTCCTTCCCCAGCCAGGCCTGGTGTGGCTGGCTGCGGGGCAGGGGCTCTGGAAGGGAGGGCCTGAGGACCAGTTCTGCCTGGGGGCGTGCCTGGAAAGACCACAGACACCTGTATCAGGCCCTGTATCAGGCCCTGCCCAGGCATTTGTCGCAGCAGCAGGGTCGCTGCAGCCACCAGCTGTCCTCACCTGTTCCTGTATGTTGGGTCATGGGGCTTTCCCTCCTGGGTCTGGCTCCTGTCCTCAGGGGACTTTCCTCAATGCCAAGATTGAAGGGTGTTTAGGTCAGACTCCTGCCAGGAAAATCCGTCATTCCTTATTCAGGAAGTCCCCCAAGGCCATTCCCCCATTTTCGGAGAGCCTGCCCTCTCCCCTCCAGGCCACCTTCAGATTCAACAGAACCAACTGCCTGTGGGGACACAAGTCTCCTTGCRCCAGTGCAGGGGCCACTTAGCTCTTCAGCCCTGGGGTCCGGGGCATCTCCCCACCTTCCTTGATCCCCTCTAGTAGTAATAACAACCATACTGCCGCTAATAAAAAGGCAGAGAGAAGCCTGGCGATGGTGCTTCTGCCCTTTATGAAACTCACTTTAATCTAACCCAGATGGGTCTCCTCGCTGATAACCTCGTACGACCAGCACCCTGAATTATACTTTCCGTGTGAACACACTGGGTTATATTTAGCCACAAATTACAACTCTGTTTAACAAGCACCTTCCCTGCAAGGGGAGGGGGCCAGGCAGCCTCCTGACCTGGTTGGACAAAATCAGCAACAGAAGCGAAGCCTCCCTCAGAGCAGGAGGCAGAGGCCGTGGGCAGCAGAGGTGGCCCTGGCTGGGGAAGCTGTTCATCTGACTTCAGGTCTCAACCTCGCTGCTCCCCTTGCTGTTTAAAACTTACAATGGGGTCCTGAGATCTGTCTTAGAGGTACAACCCGTGCTTCCCTGATGGTCCCAGGGTCTCAATGGGCACTGACTGAGGCTAGGCCCCTTGCTTAGTCTGGAGCTGGGACTGATCCTCAGGAGAGATGGGCTGTGTGACAGAGGACTTGCCCAGCCAGGCATGGCCCTGGGACAGTTCCCTCTCTGTGGCCTTGACTCAGCATCCTGCCGACAGCCCCTTCCCCTGACACCTGGCCTCTGGGCCCAGCTAAATAGCGGTGCTGGGACTGAAAGCTCTGTTCTTTTGGGAGGCAGCCCCTGCTCTTGGGGATCTAGGGCACCCTCACCCTCCTGTCCCACCCAAATTAGTCTGCCTACCAACTCAAGTTCCAAAGCAGACCTGGCAGGGGAAGGCTGCCCCCGCCCACAAGCCTCCAAGCAGCGCCTCCAAGATCCCACCTGAGAGGGCTTCAGGGAGTCTGCAGTGCAGGAGAGGGAGCTTCCCCCACACTGTGCAGCCAAAGGTCTTGATGAGGCCTCCCCCATGGTGGAGGGCCTCTGCCTTCAGGAGACAGGAAGGGGCCCAAGACATACTCCTCTAGCCAGGGCAGTTCCTCGAAACTGTAGTTGACATTTTTTTTTTTTAACCCCTCTTATTTGAAGAGAAAGGAGCAAATTCTTCATCCTGAGCTGTCCTTGGAACACTGACTCTGAGTAGGGTGGGGTACAGCTTTCCTCCCATGAGGGAGGGTCCAGGGTGCTGTGGGCCACCTCAGCTTCCACCCAGGCCTTAGCCCACCCTTCCTGCCCCAGCCTGGGTCCAACCTGCAGGTGTTCACAGGCTGAAGAAGTTCAGACCTAGGTCTCAGGGCCCCCAGTCTGCCCCTACCTGCCCCTCCATGTGCCAGCCTGCAGCATCCTGGCCCCAGTCTCAGGTCTGGTCTTTGGGCCAGTCCCCCTGCACCTCTGCTACGAAGAATTAAGAGTCAATTTTTTTTTTTTTTTGAGAGAGAGAGAGAGAGAGAGAGAGAGAGAGAGAGAGAGAGAGAGAGAGAATTTTTAATATTTATTTTTTAGTTCTCGGCGGACACAACATCTTTGCTGGTATGTGGTGCTGAGGATCGAACCCRGGCCGCAYGCATGCCAGGCGAGCGCGCTACCGCTTGAGCCACATCCCCAGCCCTAAGAGTCAATTTTTGTCTTCAAGAAATTGTTTCTATATGAGGCATGGTGGCACACGCCTGTAATCCCAGTAGCTCTGGAGGCTGAGACAGGAGGATCATGAGTTCAAAGCCAACCTCGGCAAAACTGAGGTGCTAAGCAACTTAGGGAGACCCTGTCTCTAAATAAAATACGAAAAATATGGCTGATGTGGCTTAGTGGTCAAGTGGCCCTGAATTCAATCTCCAGTACCACCCCCCCTCCCAAAAAATAAGAAAGAAAGAAAGATATTGTTTCTAATTTGCCCTTTGACTAATGGCCCAGGGAACAATGGAGACACCCAACATACAGTTACCCGGCAGCACAGCCCTGCTGCTCTCTGGCCCCAGTAAGGCATTTATTTGGAGCAGTGGATAATTCATAATTTTATATTTTGCCTGACATCCCCAGCCCCTTATATTAAAAAATGATTATTTATTTGATGATTTCAGATCAGTTGGGACCTCGGTCATTTGGGAGCTGGGAAATCTAGATTTGCTGCTAGTGTCAGGGAGAGTCGGGGCAGGAGTGCCGCAGGGCCCACAGGACAGGCTTGGGGGTGACAGGCCGCAAGCTGTGGCTGTAACAGCAGGGCTCAGGACTGCTTCTGCTCCTGCGGTGTGCCCTGTGTTGGGATGTGATGTAGAAGTGTCTCTGCCTGCTCGTTTGTTTTGTTTCCTGACGCTGGGGATGGAACCAGGGCCTCAGGCGTGTTAGGCAAGCACTCCACCACTGAGCTACATCCCAGGCCTGCCTTGCCTTTGTGTTTTATACCCGTGTGCATGTGGGAGTGTCACACACTATGTGAGACCCACATGTGCCAGAGTGGGTTTGTGTACACACGGGGATGGGGTGATGTGTGAGCACTCATGAATGTGTGCATATCAAGGGAGCACACTCGCCAGGTGTGATGGTGCACACCTGTAATCCCAGAGGCTTGGGAGCTGAGGCAGGAGGACTGTGAGTTCAAGCCAGCCTCAGAAACTTAGCAAGGCCCTAAGCAACTCAGTGAGAACCTGTCTCTATAAATAAAATACAAAAAGGGCTGGGATGTGGCTCAGTGGTGCCCCTGAGTTCAGTCCCTGGTACCAAAAAACAAAAGGAGCATGCTCTCAAAACTGCATGAATGTTCATGTGTGCGCACCTGAGAACAGCATTCAGGTAGTGGCCATGCCCAGGTGTCAGGGCACAGCTGGCTATGCATGGCGTCCATTCATCTTCTCCCCAGGCCAGAGGAAACCCTGAATGGTGTCCACCAGGCTTTCAGAAATGGCTGGGGCTTCTGTTGGGAGGAATGGATCTGAGGGCTGAGGATGCTTCTAGGATTTCAGATGGGCCAGGGGCTGGGTGTCTTAGGGCCCAGGTCCACTAAGAACTCACTGGTTTAGACACTCCAGCATCAAGACTGGTATCAGGGTTGGGGTTGTAGTTCAGGGGTAGAGAACTTGCCTAGCATGTGTGAGGCATTAGGTTCAATCCTCAGCATCACATAATAATAAATTATTGTGTCCATCTATAACAACAACAACAACAACAACAACAAAAAACTGACTTGAGGCTTAATATCTTCTCTCTTTGCCCCTCCTGGCCCTCTTCCTGTAAAAGGCGGATCTGCAGATCCCAGTATGTTCGTCTAAAATTAAAAACATTTGTTAGCTATGGACAGCAGGAGAGTCAGAGGGCCACCAAGGAGGCATCCTCTATGCAGATAGCGAGCCCAGCCAAACATGCCTGGGCAGCTCGACTCCAAGCCTTGGGAGGGGAACACGGGAGCTTATTTTGTCCTGCAGAGCTGCCCAGGGCTGGGTGCCTGGGCTGGGCAGCTGCCAGCCCCTGGCCACATCCAGCAGAGGCCCAGGCCCGACTGCAGCTATTTGCTGTTACAACTGTTTTGAAACAGTATTGAGAGAGGAAGGGGGGGTGGGAAGCCCACTAAATTTGTTTTAAGTGAATGCTGCAGAATAGGGCTGCAGAGGTGGGGGGAAATACGCAGGGGGCTGCAAGGTCCGAAAGGCATCCAGGACCTCTCCAAGTGGGCAACCTCCTTCTGGGAGGAGACACAGGAGAGACAAGAGATAGCACTGGGGGATTCTGAAGCAGCCCCCACCCACTATTTAGGAATCCAGGGAAGCTGCCATGCACAAGGAACTAAACCCAAAACTTAGGGCAGAGAGGACCCACATCCGTGCTCTCCTGCGCTCATCCACCTCCTGGGCAGTAGGTATTTACTGCGGCTGGGGCTCAGAGCCTGCCTATCAGCCAGGTTCCAGGACCCTAAATCATATCCTGCCTGTGGGGGGTACGGTTTGGGGGTCCCAGAGGCCTTTACAGCTGGCTTCTCAACGCTCTCTGGAGGGGAGTAGAGCCTCAGAGAGCTGGGGGTCCACCCCTCCCTCACAGGGTGGTTGGAGGCGAAGCCCCTTTTCAGAGCCTGCAGAGCTGTGGCGGCGCGCTCGGAGCAATTTCAGGAACACCCCTGGTCGCCAAGGTGTCCTCTCTGTTGGATTCAATATTTTTCTCCTACATATTTTTTTTCTTAAACTAGGGTTTTGCGAATTAATTTTTAAGAAGAAAAGGTTCCTGGATTGGAAAACAAACTCCGTGGAGAAACTGGTGAAAAGCTCGGCTTTCAAAGGAGCGCAGGAAAGCGCAGTCTGAGACGGGCGCCCTGCAAGGACCCAGGATTCTGGGCGCCGCGCGCTTCCATCCCGCGCCCGTCCCTCCCGAGGGCTGGAAACGCGGGTCTCCGACCGCTCCCCCCCGGGAACAGTTTCTCCGGAGCCGGGCCGCCTCTCCTCGGTGTGCGTGGGAGGCGGGCAGCCTCCGTAGAGGCCTCCGGGCGGGACCCCGTACGACCGCGTCTCCCCCGGATACTCCCGTGCCGCTGCTGGCCGTCTGGTGCTCCCGAAGCCACCAGGAGCGTGGTGGTCCGCGCTCCCCCACCCGCGCCCGAGCCAGACGCCGTCTCCCCCAGCCCAGACCTGCGCCCGGAGACCTAATTCAATCGCCCCCGGCCTAATGAATAGACGCGCGCTAATCGGATCTCGGGCGCTCCACGGGATTGATGCCTTGCGCCTCTCCGCCCGCCCGCGCGCCCCGGCGGAGCGGCTGCGGAGCCGAGCTTCCGAGGGCGGCAGCCCGTGCTGGTCAGGGTCCCAGGCCGCGGAGGTCCTGCAACCGAACCGGGGTCCCAGGCCGGCTGCGCAGGCTCGCGAGCCTCGTTCTGCGCCCCCAGCCCGGCCCGCGGAGCCTGGGCTTACCTGGAGTTCCTCCAGGCCAAGTGCCCGAAGTGGGAGCCTGCAGAGGCCTGGTGCCCGGCGGGCGGGAAATCCCGGAGTCCCCGCCCGCGGCCCCCACCCCGGGCCAGCGCGGCCCGCGGGGGGCAAGGCCGGCTCGTCCGTCTGCCCGCTTTCCCCTTTCTCTGCGGATTCCTTTGATCCAMGGGCTCTCCGCCGCACCTCCGCTCCCGGGCTGCCGGGGTCGGCCCGCGGGGATCCTGGAAACAGTCCCCAGCTTATCTCCTTTCATCAAGCGGCCTGGGGCCGCCTTGAAACCGCGGAGCCAGTAATTGCTTTTTTCAGGAGGCCCAGTGCGTACTGGACAACAGCCAATCAGCGCCTTGTTTACACTCGGTGATTGACAGCCTGATGGCCAAGTGCCAACCAATCCCAGCAGTCCCGGGGGAGCGGGCGGGGGGGGCGGGGAAAGAAACCAGACAACCGGCCTCAGGTTTAACTCCTTCACCTCCCAGCCGGAATGAAACCGTGGAGAAATCCTCATGCGTGTGAATGAGTCGGCTGGCATCTCGTTTATATATCCTTTTTCATACGGAGAAAGAGGAGTAAAAATAATGCATTCATCGCCACTAAGGCATCACCTCGACTCCTCGAGAATAAATACCATTTGGATAGGAAATCAAATTCTAAATKAAATATTTGCTTGCAAAATATTTTAAAAAGTGGTTTGAATATGAATTCAATAAAGAGAATAGTTCGGTGGCTGCTTTCCATTGTGAGAATTTAACAGATGTGCAGGAGAGTGGCACAGAGAAATGCTATGCACGGTTTTCACACCGAGACCCCCCACCCCAAATTATCAGGTGAAAGGACCTTAAAACATAGAAGAATGAATAATCCTTGTCTTAGCAACAAATCCTCGATTTTCATTTTGATTGCTGCTCCGTTGCCAGGTGTGGCACAGGGAGATAAAAATTGAGTGCTTGCAAATAGGTGGTGGGAGAGGAAGAACTCATCTCCCCGAGTCTGAGGCCGGGAGAGGACAGGGTGGTGCCCGTGCAGCTCGAGCCGCGGGTGTGCACGCATTCCTGGGCTTTAGCTAGAGCCGCGGCAGTCTCAGAGAGGTGGAAGGTCTGGGAAACCCGAGAAGGCCTCTGGGCTTGGAGGTGGGGCCTACCTGCACCTAGGTCCTGCCACCTGCCAGACAGATCCCAAGTATTTTCGAAAAAGGGCATCTGCTTTAAGGGGCGTTGCTGTTTCTTCTCCTGGCATTTTGTACACAGAAACCAAGCGTTAGACCTGCGGATTTGAAAAAAAAAAAAAAAAAAAAGCCTCCCCCTGGGCCTGGACACGCGCTCTCACTCGTCCCCGCTCCCTCTCCCGCCCAGCGCCGCCACAKTCCCATTCAGCAGCAATGATCTGCGCAAAGGAGCTGCGCAGTCGCCGGGCTTGAATTAGGCGCCATCGGGCTCGGTAGTAGCCCTGCTGCTCCCTGATTGGCAGCTCCCTGGCCCTGCGCCAGCCTATTGGGAGGCCTGTTTACGCCGAATGAGTGGCACAAGCTCCCGGCCGTGGAGGGCCGCGCGTCCAATCAGCGCGCGGGCTGCTCCAGGCTGAGTGGCACGAGYTTATTAGTATGCAGGGCCCGTGGCTCGCCGCGCCGGGCTGCAGGTTTGAGAGCCGCTCTGGATGGGCTCGCTAGAGTCGTTGTTGTGGAAGCGGTGCATTTACAGTGCAACAGTCAGCACATTGAAAATACCAATAGGAATACAAAACAAAGTCACATTTACTGATTTAATTGTATTGCATTCAATTGTATCCAGGAAACAGCCTCCAGTAAGTAACTGAAATTGCTTTCATTTTTTTTTGTTTTTGTATTTTTATTATTTTATTTTTTATTTTGGCTTTGGGGATTTACATTTTTGGCAAGATAAATTCAGGATTGTGATGTTAAGAAATATTATTATATTTTCCCTTTTTTAAAAAATCCGTTATAATGTTGAGAAGGCTTTTTTCCTAAAAGATGGACTTATATGAGTGCTCTTTTTTCCTCTGAAAAATCTTATCGATCGGTTTAAAATTCCCCCCGTGATGCGTCCTTGCTTTGCTCTGAGCGCTTGTTGTCTCGATCGACATCCAGCATTAAAAATAAATAATCGAGACAGGACAGGGACTGCCAGGTTGTGTCTGCCGAGTGCCCCGCGGGTGGCTGCGGGTAGACACTCAGCAAGCGCCCAGCTCTGGAGGAACCACGAGCAACCCCAATTATTTGCTCTTGCATCTTACTACACTTGCCCGAGTAGTCTATATGGGCTCCGCCCGGTTGCTCCGCGGCACAAGGAACTGGCCGGCTCGTGGCGGCCACCGTGGCTGTTCAGAGGGGCTTTCCCGGCTGCAGCAAGGGGCTGAGGAGGGGAGATTTTCGGGTTTCACTTTCAAAAGCCTAATTCATTTCAGAAAAAAAAAAAAAATTCCCGGGAGGAGTGGGGGTAGAGGATGGGCACTAGAACGCCGGACGTTTTCACTGCATGCGTTCCGGGCAGCTCGCGGGCTTGGACTACGAGTCGCGTGGCTGGGTCCACCGGCCGGTGCGTCCCCGGACGCGGGGATCCGACGCGACCCCAACTCTCACTCGTCTCCCGAGGGGGTGGGCGCGGCCGTTTCGCAGGGAGCGGGTTTTGTAGCACTGCCCGAACACGGTGCGCTCCTGGTGCCGGCCTGGCCTGCAGGCCCCAGGGCGCTCGCTGGCTCGAGGCAGATGGGTTCTGAGCTAGGCAGACCGGCCCAAGCCCTGATCCCCAGCAGGCGGCCAAAGCAAGAGCAGGTTTTTAGATGCACAGTTGAAAACAAAGCAAACCTGAAGAAACCCGGGATCCTGAAGCGCGGGAGACAAGCGTCAGGCCGCGGGAAGAGGGGAACCAAGGCTCCGGGGGTCACGCCCTGCCACCCTGGGGAGGTGTACCGAGGTTCAGTTCTTTCCGAAATGCCCTCGTCAGCGATTCTCTGGGAGGAGCGGGGGCCCTCGGCATACTACCGCTTTCRCTGGGTTTTCTGCTTGATCCAACCCTACCTGGGGCTGCGGCGCAGTCTTCGCGGTCCTCTGCGGTGGCCTGTCCTGAGGTTGGGCGGGGGGTGGGTTTGGAGCTCCGGGACTCGGCGGGTGGCGGCGCCACAGTTACGGGGCCGCAGGACTCTGAGTCCTGGCCGCGATGGCTGCCATCCGCGTCCGGTTCCTGGCTGGCTCTGGTTCCCCAGGCTCCGCGAGCCAGTAGCTGGCAGACAAGGAGACGCGGTGCAGTCCCTCCCTGGGAGGAGGTTACACAAAGAAAAGTCTCCCCGAGTCCAGTAAGAATCGCAGCGGCACGTACCGGCGACCTAATCTGCCCCCTGTTTGCGTAAAATATCGAGCGGGTAGGTGAGAAAGGAACAATCGAGTCCGCGATCCGCCCGCAGGGGGTGGAAGAGTAAAATTACTGCTTTTAGAGGAGCCCGCGTCCCGAGAATCGCCAGCAGCTTGCGTTTTCTCCACAACTTTGAAATTTCATACTGGGGGGGGGACACCCACAAAACAAAAGCTCAACACACACGACTCCCCAGAGGCCGGTGGAAAGCCTAGCACCTCCGCACGCACAGCCCCCGACCCCTCTCCGGCCCTTGTGCCTTTGAAGCCGCAGGTTCCTGACCTCYCTCCCCTTCCTTCTTTCCCTTTGTCCCTCCTGGCGCCCTCCGGGGCTCGAGAGGCGCCGACCAGGGCCAGAGCGCACAAGCCTCTTGCAGGGCCAGAACATACCCCTCTCTGACCCCGGAGCTAGCAGCCCCTCGGCCCTGCGCTTTCCGGGTCCTGGCGGCCTGGTGCTCGCTTGCGGGCCTGGGCGACAGAGAGCCAAGTTATTTGTTGGACCCGGGGAGAGTGAGGATCCCTAGAGGGAAGGGAGCCCCAAACCCCTTTGTATGCAGTTTCGAGACAAAGAGAACTCTTTGTGTAGTCCGTTTATTTACAATGCAAAAGCTCTCCGAATAAATATTAAAAAAGCTTATCAGCTGAGCAAATATGTATTCACTTAATACATTATGTTTTCGGTTATAGATTAAATCAGACACAAAATAGTCTGCAAATAAGACGTTGTAGAACTCGAAGCATAAAATACAGCAATTTAAAATGGTATTTACGAAATGGAAAACATCTTAATCGCTTTGTTGTCATGGTGGGACGGCTTATTAAAAAAAAAAAAAAACACCACGAGGTTTTCTGCAAAGTTCACAACTAAAGAGTATTGAGCTTGTCCATATCCCTTCTGTTGGAGGTGATACCAAACATTAAAACAATGTGTGTTTAGGAAATAAAAAGAAATATGAGGAATGGAGAAGGGGAGAACCTTTGGTAGCATGCCCTCGGTAGTGCACACTTAACATCGCTTGCTCCGTTGCTTTACTGCCTTGTCTGAAATTGTCCCCAATTTCGCCTGGAAGTAGATGCTTCTTGGTGGGTGGGAGTGGAAGAGAAGACAGGCGAGGGTCATTTATAGTCGGCCTTGCAGAGGGTGGGGGTGGGTGGACCATGGAGGTCCGGGGTCTGCGGGGACTTGAGCGTGGGTGAAGGCCGCTCTGGGCCGGGCCCATCCTCCCCAGCTGCTGGGCCGAATCCGGTGCCGTACATCCCGCATCCCTGGGCCGCCGGTCCACGCGGAGACCGACCTTAGCTGGGCGATCCTGGACAGGCAGACACTGAATGGAGAAATGTCGTGGCCGATTTGGGAGGCTGAAAGAAAACAATTTCCGACTCTCAAAGCATCCCCCCAAAGCCCCCAATCCGCAGAGGAAGATCCTGGGCGAATTTGATTGGGGGGCGGGGTGATTGTTCCAGCCTCGCCAGGAAGCTCCCGGCCGGGGACAGCAGGCCSGGCACTGCGGCGCGGCGGCCCAGGTGATGCGGGAGCCCGCGGCTCCGGGGAGCTGGCTTGGGATCCTGGAATGGTGTCGGGGGCTGGGGCCGTCCCGTTGGGTTAGGGGGGCGACAGATTCAAAAGAACGGACTGAAAGACGCATGGGGGGATGGGAGAGGGGAGAAAAGGAAGATTATAAAAAAAAACTCTTGAGTTACAATCAATAAAATTACTCGCTTAATTAGCATGGTTATTCGGTTAAGCGGAATGCAGTAAAAGCTGGACCTCGGAATGATGGGAGAGAGGAAAAATGAGAGCTTGGACCCCAGGCCTTTTCCTCCGAGACACCTTTGGGCAGCGGGGGAGGGGAGAGGGTGTGTGTGTGTGTGTGTGTGTGTGTGTGTGTGTGTGTGAGTGCGCGCGCGAGTGTGCG